GAAAGGAATAAAAATTTAATACAGGCGAATAAAGAACTGAGAATAAAATAAAACAGATTTTTCTGGTCTTTCTCAGCACTTAATATTATTAAAATTTCATAAAGAAATTTTCTGCACAATCTGTATTTCTCCAGTTTTAGTTTATTAGGTTTTTTTTACATTTACGTTCATTCCTTTTTTCTTTCCAAATCCTATTCTCTAATTTTCAAAAATTCTCAACAAATTCTGTTCTCCCCTCTTTTTTCTTTCTTTCATTTCTCGTACGCTGTTTTGCTCTTTCCTACTCTGACTGTTAATTGGTGAATGATACACTGACTTATCATCAACGAAACAATTGAAGTGAAATTACAACTCTAACCGATGACACTAATAGCATACAGTAAAATAAAGTTTAAAAAAAAAAACAAAATTGCACTTTGTCCAAAAGTGGTTAGAACCGCTGAGTAGTAGGTAGTTTCAAAATAACTACGCGGTACAGTCAGTCAGTCGATGAGTAAAAAATTCGATTTTGCAAAAAAATTATTCCGACGTCGGTTTAGTTATAAAAAATTCTCTTGGCAAAGGCTCAGCTACGTCTAAGTCAACACGTCCCAGAAACAGAGTGGTAGCGTTCTTACTGACAGTTTTCAGGGCACGTAAACAGTCCGGAATGTTACAGTAACGAGTTCTTGCTTCCGCACCATACTGAGATTCCAAATATCTGTAATGAAAAGTAGAAAAGACTAGTTGCTATTCTACAAATGCTACCACTCATCTACATTAGAGTCTACATAAAAAGTTAAAAAAAAACGATACCTGTATAGCAAAGAATAATAACTTTGATAATGTTTTGCACAAATCTTCTGATCCTGCAAGTCAGCAAAATGTGACCCACTTGGATCAAACAACACAATTAACATCAAAACACTGATCGCCGTTTCGTTATGTCGAATGTCAGGATGAAGCGACTGATAAAAGCTTAAAAACAAAGGATAAGAATCGTTAAGAAAATTTTCTCAGCTTATACACTATATTTGATTACCACAAAGTCGTGGAAAAAAATATAATTTCATAAAAAGTCCTTGCAGGAGCACAAATGTCCTCTTGAAGTCAACGGCGAGTAGCTTTTAAGAGCTAACTAGGTTTAAAAACGTTTCAAAAAAAGAAAAAACCATCATTTGCAAGAGAAACACTAAGCAAAGAGTAGATAAAGAAAAAAGAAAATACTTCAAAAATTCTTCTCTTTGACGATCACGAGCATTTTCATTAAGCTGATCAAATATTCCAATAGAAACTTCAGTGCTGTCCGGAACTATACTACTCCGCCAACACTTGTTTTCTAGATCAAAAAAGAGCACACTTCGGAGAATCAACATTTCGATCATGCCGCCTAAAAAGAATAAAACACCGAATTCGACAAACACTGCTTCATTTATAGCGGAATTTAGAAAAAATAGAGGTGCACTAACTCTTCAGCAATGCAAATTTTCCACTGTGGGAGAGATCATTGAAGGCTGGTAGTTTTTTGGCAGCCTTGACTAATCTACGCATTGTAACATCAGTCATGTTCAAAATATCTGTCGGTGTGTAAGTTTGCTTTTTGAAATGTGCCTCCTGTTTTGGGTCGTCTAGAGGCTCGTTGAGGCAGGAAAATGCGTTCATCACCTGGGATAAGAGTCACTATCGACAATTCTACCTGGTACTTTAATGGAAGTAAACGAATTAACAAAATGACAAAAAATTGAACTTCAATTAGGAAGCTCACAATGTCTAGAGCATTCCGTTCTGCTGTGTTCAACTGATAATCTCCTTCACGATAGATTGCTTGCTGAAATTAGGGTGACATTATTGACGTTATAGTCCGAAGTGTAAAGGAAAAAGTCGAGTTCCATAACTCTAGTACGCAGCTAGGCCAAACGCAAATACACTCTAATTTACCCGTAATGCGCCAGGCTCACTGGAGGGCCGTGGAGATTCACGAACCAATTCCTCGGTCAAACTGGTCCCCAAATACCTTGGTTTGATGTCCTCAAGCTCAGGAGGTTTAAAACTACCCAACTGCTGTACCGAAGACGCTGTAACTCCAAGGTCGGTGTAATGGGGAACTGCTAAAACGAGACAAATAAAGTCAGCCATACCTGAAGGATTACCAGTTGGCGCACTATGAGCAAATATTAGCTCGAGAAATTTATTAATTGCCTTTTTCGAGTATCATATTAAAACGCCAATCTTTGATTAACTCTACAACGCTAGTTTTTTGTTCTGTCATGTGGAAATCATATTTCTGGTTTAGTTTTCTGAAAGAACTTCAGTTATTTGATAAAATCATACTGGATCCTTGAATGAGCGTTGGTCGTATAATGCCAATGTTCATAATCGGCCGCTGTTGAGCATTTGGTGAGTAAAGTTCCCTTTTAACATCATCAAAATTTGGAATTGGTTGAATACCACCTGTCTGATTAGGTAAATTCGGCAGCGGCCCAACACCTGCTCGTGCAGCTTTAATCAATGCCTGATACTCATCAACAGACATAGTTACATGAGGTTCACCTAGAATGAAACGATGTGAATGCCTTTTGTTGTTGCTGTCGTTAATCCTGCTGACGTAATAAATTTTATAAATTTAGCAAAAAGCTTTCAGTTGACAAATGAATCCAAAAAATGTAAAGTTCAGAAAGCTAACAAATTTAAATTTCCTTTTTTTTTCTCTTCCAGTCATTAGGGCGTTCATCCCGTCCCGTATATTAATGAAAACAGTTTCAATATATTACTTCGAAGCATAAATTGTTCTGCCGGTCTACTTAAGGATGATGATCCCCCTGCTGCTGGTGTAGGAAGTGGTGTCGCTACCGATAATGCAGGATCGAAACCGTTGGGACGTAACGAAGCAAACGCTCCAGCTGCTTGTTGTCGTTGTAAACGCATCATATTTGACTCGTACTATATAGAAAAGAAGTCTGGGTAGAACCAGTTTTGTGAAAACCGAATTTTATAGAATGTTGTTTGACGCAAGACAATTAAGGCAAAATAAACAAGCATAAAAAGTAACGGAAATATCTACAGGAAAACAGCATACGAACAACCAAGAAATTAAGTAAACACATTTACAGCATCTCCGTTATTGTCGATCTGTGGTAGTCCTAACCGAGCACCTCGACTTGGTGAATCGGGAGATGATGAAATTATATTCGACGAAATTGTTGATGCTGTTGGGTTTATCATCTATAAATGTTCATAAGGAAAACATTATTGTTATTTGTTTCGTAGTGACAAAAAAGCCTGCAAAAAATAGGCAATTTCCTATACCTGATGCACAACTGGAGGTGTAATCATCGTTTGTTCTGTATAACGCCTTCCTCCAGACTGATTTGTGGCTAAATTGAAACAACTGTTTAACACCATACTTAAAAATTTATAAGTTATGCTGCTTTATTAGCCGAAACATGAAAAGTCGAGCGACGAAGTTATTATTATACAAAAGGCTCGAGCAATACCTATTAAAATGTTAGAGTAAAAAATAGGAAATTTTAGAATAGGCAAAATACGATAAAAACGACGGGCTTCATCACAGCATAACTTATCATTTGTTAAGAATATACGAACATTGATTTATTATCAGCTATAATATTTATAGAACCTAAATTTGTGGCAAAAAAACCTAACCGTTGACGCTCGTTGAGCTAACTGTAGACTGAGCATTAGCAGAAGAGGTTGACGTAGTGCTCCGTGACGTTGACTGTCCAGATGCAGCCATATGATTTAATCGAGAATTTTTTCGACGTCGAAGCTGTTCTTCATTTAAAATCCATTCTTTTTTCATTCCAACCTATAAACAACATTTTGTTACTAAGTAACAAAAATATGACCAATACACTAAATGTAAAACAGTAAATAACTAAGTCTTATAACCTTCTGAATACGTTTTGAAGCAGTACTAAAATCTGTCGGTATAAAGAACCGCATTTTCTCGTTCGCTTTACCAAGAATTCCAGGTTTTTTGAAAAAAAAAAATGAAAATTTAAAATGAAGACAAAACAAACTGCAAAACACTTCCGAAGTCGACACTTCTGACAAAACCTGCGGCTAACAGCGTTTATATCACAATCGTCTGAATATGGGCATTTAAACTCCTGTAAAAGAAAAAAGTGCCGCTTGTCCATGCAAAACACATAAAAAAAATATTATACGCAAGTGGGAAAGCAACAAAATGAAGTGAAAGCAGACCAAAAGGGATGTTCTTTTTCATTTCATTTAGTAAACATAACTTGTTTAATAAACAAAGTAAAGATTTTTTCCTAAGAACAATTACATTTATTAAACCAAAAAGCCTTTACGGTGAGAAAAAATCACGCTAGTAAACCAGGTTAGTAAAGTAAAAATCAACAATTAAAATCACTTAAAATACTCAAAAAAACTAACTTTTGGTCGTAAAGCATTACGCCTAAAGAATGCTTTACAAGACTCGCAAGTGATCACATTAAAATTATAACCAGTAGCATGGTCACCGCAAACTCGACACGTTTTCTGTCGACGTTGTGAGTCCTGAACATAAGCAAGAAGTCAGTATTTCTTCACTACGTCTGTACGCAACATAATCACAATTTTATACGTTTTTTCTTTAAAATAACTAAGTAGTAGTTTGTGTATGAAAAAGTTGTTAAACAATTTATCCGGAAAATATAACAACTTTCTTTTTCCGTTTTTTATTGTTTTCTTAAAACTATTTCTTTTTGACGGTTATCTCATCGCTGAACAGGTGGGTTCTGCCTGTATTAGACAATGTAAAAGTCTATGTACGAAAAGAACTAGAACAGTTCTCTGATTCTGCTGTTTCCCAGTGAACGAACGTCAGCTGAACAAATACTGTCGAAAGCAAACTTTTACATCAGTCGGCGTTTCATGGTTGGTTGGCTGCTCACAACCGGATGAACCACTGGGACGTACTCCACCGCCAGCCATTGCGAGATCATCCATAATATTCAAGCCTAAAAACATAAAAACAAGTCTCGACAATAAACTACAGCAGTTCCTTTTTTACCATATAAAGCTCTTCACATTCCCAACTACCAATTCTAAAACTCTCCTAAAAGACTGAAACGCATTTCTTATCCTAAAAGTGAAGAATAATTTTGACAAAGGGCCTAACCAATAGCGTTAAAAGTTCCAAATTGCCGACCTTACTCTGAAAGAAAAGAATCGCCTTTTCTTGATTAATAAATTTAAAGTCAAGAAGGCGAAAAAAAGCAAGCTTGTTTTCAATTTGTATGAGATCACGTTGTCTACCAATATCTGCCTTTTATTTTTTTATTACCTTGAAACAAATTTAGTTCCAAATACCTCCTCATCTAAGACAGCCCTCTAAAGCATCCCACCGCCGTAGTAAACATTACTTCTGAGGAGATAAATGTAGCAAAAACGATGCACTCTACCGGTAGACGTCTGAAGAGATGTTGGAATGGTCGAAAGCCCTGCACTGGTCTGTTGTCGTTGAGCCAAAGAACTGAAGTTGCTGGTCCCGTTTATAAGTCCCGATGGAAGACCGCCACGTAACGAAGGAGGACTGTGTATCACCGGGTCGTCCGGTGTTGTCATCTGCTGCTAAAATCCAAAAATCTGTAAGAACTTTCAGAGCAATGAACCAAAAATGACTTCATTTGGATGTAAAAAGCAGTTTTTTTTTCGTTTGTTATTGTTTATTCTAGACAAATGTTTACAGATTCAAAGGTCGGCTACGTGACATCAGTAAACATGGATCTCAGCAAAAAAAATTTTATTCAATATAGCTGCTGCTGATTTCCTTTTTAAAAAAAATCACCCTTAAAATTAATCAAGTCTCAAAAATGCAAGTGATAATATTTCTAAGTTCGCAAAAATTAGCCTATCAAAGTAAGCAAAAATAATTCAAATTAAAAGCTGAAAAAAAAAAACAAAATGATGATTCAGAAAAACATATCCCATGCTGTATGATCTGTCATTTCAAACAGACGAAAACAACTGCTAATGACGCAACAAAGTTTCCCAAGGATACACGCCTATTCAAAAGCATCAAAACATTCATTCGTCTGTTGATATTTGTTTCTTCCGTCAATTAACAAAACTCAGAAATCATAGATCACTTGTTTTCAGTGAAATTATATATATATATATATATATATATATATATATA